GACATTTTAAGACAGTACTTAAGATGATCTTAAATATAAAATCGGACTATAAATACCGTCCTATAGTAAAACTAATGGTTCCTGCACAGAACGCGGTAATGCTTGCCGCGCGGCAGAAATCTGCGCGACAGCCAATCAATATATTGTTTTTCCGTAAGAGCTAGAAGGTTATTACGGAATACAGCATATTGATTGGCTGTCGCGCGGCAAGCATTACCGCGTCCTATGTGCAGGAGCTAATAATAGGTACCCAGTTCAGCAATGCAGCTACAAAGAACATGACTTAGGTCTCCTCTATTTTAGTATGACAATTACGAAATAGTTATAATATAAAATAGTATTTATAATTTTGATGTTATATCAAAGTTATATTATATATTGTTTAAATGTTTCTTTAAATATTGCAAATGGTTTTGATAATAAAATAGATGCAAACATAATTATACATTTTTTTAGTTTTTTAAAATTTATACATTGCCACTTGTCCAACCCTTATAGAAATATCATACTAAGAATCATTGATAATTACTTATTATCTAGTATTTTTAATATTGAAAATAAGTAATTATCAATGATTCTTAGTATGATATTTCTATAAGGGAACGTAATAGGTTTGTAAATGTTGCCAAAGTTTTAATGTTCATAATTTTCACGTTTCAAAGATATTTTTCGAATTTGGCGCTTTGCGGCGTGTTATGTATCAAAAATTGACGGAAGGTAGCGTTGTAGGCCTTCTCAATTGGCGCATTGTTATTTCTAGAATCTGGCAACTTTCGGAATGGAATAGAATTGAGCGAACGGTGGCGAGTGAATGCATCGAGTGTCAAATTGATCAAAGTTTTTCGCGTCCTTTTCCTCTTAGTATTTTAATCGAAAATATTTGTCACAATATATCTCAAAATGTCCACGAAATCCTCAGTGGATTTGCGAGCTGAATTGGCGGAATTAGTAAAACGCAAAGCTGAAATCGCTGTAAGTACATCGTGAGAATTTTTATTTTATACAAGGTAAAATGCACGTACACAATACATTCTGACGTTTTTATGTACGTCCGCGATGTACAAGACTCATGAGACACTTGAATTTCGTTCATTTTGCAACGGTAAGAACACATGATTATGATTCACAGGGACATGAGGTTATGTTATTAGAGAATAACCTAAGGTCTGTTCATTTTCGAAGGACCTCTGTACTAGTACACATCAACATTAAATCAGGTTGAGACAAAGTATATTTGTCTCAATCTGACCTATTGCACTAGTTCAGAAGTTCTTCGAAAATGAACAAACCTCTAAATGAGTGATCACAAGACAAACTACACCACTGTTATTCTTTTACTAATGATATTGGATACACTGTAGCGCATTTGTGCAATTTTTTTTATACAAATTGCTTCTTTACAGGACACATTAGCCAATCTAGAACGTCAAATATACGCCTTTGAGGGAAGCTATTTAGAGGACACGCAATTATATGGAAACATAATAAGAGGTTGGGATAGGTATTTAGCAAGTAACAAAAACACCAATAGTAAAGCTGATAAGCGCAATAGAAAATTCAAAGAGGCTGAGAGACTATTTTCTAAATCATCTATCACATCTGTGGCAGTAAGTGGATATATCTTTCCAGTAAATACTAATTTTTAAGTACTATTTTTATGTACATTTTAATATTAATTTACAAAATTTGTTTACTGCTACCTGTAAATCTAGTTAACAATACATTGTAACTTATGTCTACAGGGTCTTTGACAATTCATGACATACTTGTGTGAAGGTGGAACTTGTCAAATTGAATATAAAATTGCTCTACCATTTCACAAACATGTAAAATTTTGGACTATTAAAACTCTTGACTCCTTGTCGCCATCATCTTGATTTACAACGTCAGAAGTGAGAAATTGCATGTTAAAAAATTTTTGCAGAATAAGTAGAAATAAAAATGCATCTATAAAATAACACTTGCATTCTCGATCGAGTAGACATATACAATATTCTGAACACTTTTATTCTTGCAATCAATAAATAACTAAAATTAACGTGATGAAATCATGAGAAAATGTAGATTAAAGAAGTAGGTTGTGTTGTTACATTAATTTCACGGTAATTTATTGATTAGAGCAGAGAGAAAGCGTTCAAACTATTTTGCAAGTGTGTCTAATCGATTGCAAGTGTCGCTTTACGGATATATTTTTTATTTCGATTCAGTATTTTGCAACAATCTTTATCGTATATTTTCACATGTCTGACATCAATTGAGAGATTCGCGGCGAGGAATCTTGATTAAAAAAGATTGGCGAATAATTATGCGCGCTTATAGCAGATTAGCTGTGATGACGACGCGTTTGTACATTAGATCTGAATAGAACAAAAAAAGTCCTCTATCATTTTACAAATGACCACGTAGATGCTTAGTTATCAATTAAAGAAGATTGCATTATCGCGCACAATCATGCACTAATCTTTAATTAGTAGCTAAAAATCTACATAGTTATTTATAAAATAGTAGAGAACATTTTGTTCAGTTTGAAAGTATATGTTTGTATACAACGGGTGTGTTATGAATTGCCAGACAGCTTGTATATTATATAGTTTTGATATTCAATTAATATGCATCGTTTTCTTGTTACAGGCAGTTAGCGGTCTCGTAGAGAATACACAAGAAAAAAGTAAGGACCTGAATGGATATTCATGACTATCTCTCTGTTTATAAAAATAACATTTTTTTTATTTGTATTTCCCTTTATTACTCTCTTTTTTTTTGTAGAAACAATAGAAACTTTACAAATGTTGTCATAAGTAGTCTTTTATGTTTATCAATGATATTTGACTGTTATTGTATATCATTGTTACAAACAGAATATATATTTGCACTGATTTTCATGTATCAATTGCTTCACATCCAAAGGAATTAAATTATTGGGGCTAGTCATTGTAGGGGGTAGCGGAATCAATATTCTATCTATATTTGGCATCTCACTGTATTCGTACCATAATTTTCATTGTCACACGGGATCTCTAGAGCTTGAAGGTTTAGACTTTTTTAGTTCTAAGCGGAATTAGGTATCGTGCGCACTTAGTGGTATACAAACAATACCTCGTTATGAATCGCAGTGGTAGTTATCTTTTTATTGATCTATATAAATATATTCTATATGTTTATGATGCATGTGTATTATATAGTGCAAATGACTGCTTTACAAAAAAATATCCGAATAAGACTGGACTCTCTCGCAATTACCATGACATTAACTCTACAATGGAGAAAGGAAACATTGTACATGTAAATGTTTTTTCTTGCTAACTACTTAAGAAAAGTCGTGTTTGCTGTAAACACAGCTCGAGTGTACGCGCAAAAATGCTCTACGCTGCACTGTCGCTTCTCTTGCGATTGTTTTTTGCACCCACACATACACACACACGCACACATACATACATTCTCTCTTTATTTCTCTATCTCTCTCTTCGCTTGTGTTTATTACGTGGCGTTAATGTGGGTTCACTGCTTCCAGTTGAACGATACAGCGAGTCAGAATCTCAGATCGGGAACAGCGGTAGCGAGGACAATTGCAACTTCGGTAATTCGAACACGCTGTCTTCTAGCAATAACAAAGAGTCTAGCGGGAAAAATCATACCTCCATTCAGACCGGCTACGTGCAAAATAACGGGACTCTCAATAGCACGGATAACTCCTCGATCCAGTTTACAAACGGATCGATGTCCAACGGTAACCTAGAACACGTGTCCACACCCGTGAAAGAATGTCACAGTAATAGCAAAGACTCGAACAAAAATAAATCCACGAATAGCGCGAAAAAGAATAGCAATAAACGATCAAGAAATAGGTAGAAATTGCTTTAGCGTTTGACACCGAAACGTGTATTTCTTTTCAATTGTACATGCGTTAATTGTTCATTCGTTGACGTTCAGTGGAACGGACGTTGCGTTCGCCCCCGAATATGATTCTTCGCCACGTGTAATATTTTCGTACTTTCATTATATTTATGTGTTATATACATAAAAATCGAAGCATTAATATAAAGCACAGATACTCTGATATTGTATATAATCAACATATTTCCATTTTAACATTAAATTATATATCAAAAGAGTATGATTATAAATTAATACATTTAACTTTGTGCGCAAAATAAATTAATTTCTTTTTGTCGCATATACCTGTGTATTAATAAGCACGTAGTGAAATTAGTACATTCCACAAGAATGTTACATATTTATAAAGTTTCTTACAGTATTGATTGTTGAGCAGCTATTTTTAAATTTCTCGAATAAAAGTACTAAAACGTAGGGCATATGTTAGCAGCATACGCGCAATTTAATGAAAATATATTCTTTTAATAAAAGTGAATTATTTATATATATGCGTAATAAGATGTACTAATTTAATATTCTTATTCTATTCGAACGTGTTACACAAGATGCAGTTGTTAAGTATAAATTGATTTTAAACTGTTGCACAAAAAATCTTTATTATACATGAATATATATAGTATATACATATATATATACACATATTGTGATTTTTAATTATTTTTAAAATAGAACTTGCTGAAAGAATAAAAGAAAAGGTCGATAATATTGTAAGAAAGTATTTTATGATTTATATATATATATATAT